GAGAGCGTCCAAAAGTCATCCAACACTCTTTTCGAATAATTGATTATAACCGGTCCAGAAGAGAACTCCGTTATCTTTTCTTTTCCCACGCTTTTTCCCTCTCTTCTTCCTGTCTTCTCTATCTCAAGCCTAAGTCTAATGAACTCGGAGGATGGTCAGTGACTGAGATTTGCTTGGCTGATTTTCTCCTTCCCCCCCCCCCCTTTTTTTTTTTTTTTTTTTACTGTGATGAGCATAACATGCCTCTACATCTTTCCTCTCTGTGTACCCCATGATGATAATAGTATTTTTCATAATGGTGGTTTTCAACATGTGGAATATGAACCCTGTGGAAGTGGGAGGGAATGAGTGAGCCTCATGAAATTAGGCCATGTATTAGTATTTCATAATTTATTAACTTAGGCAGTTTTTGGGAAGGTGGACAGATTTGGGCTAGGTAAATGAGGCTAATTATCAGGGTCATGAAAAAATTTTAGTTTCTTGGAGTGCTTGTGCAAAAAGGTAAAGAAGCTCTTATTTACAACAAAAGCTCTTGTGAGACAATCCTAACATGCCATTTAAGTTGAACATATCAAGTTGTCACATGCATTGGAAACCCAGCAAAACAAGTAGAGAAGCAAGATATAAGGAGTATATTTCAAGTTTGTTTTTTGGGTAGATCAACTACCATCAATATTATTAGGCATGAGGTTTGGTCTTTGAATATTAAGACTGAGTTGATTGCATCCTTCCTTGACCTGTCCAGGTCCTTGCAAGCCCAAGTTTTTTTAAACATGATCTCCCTATAATGCAGTGTATAAAGTGATGTAACCATGGATTGTGTCTTACATGACATATGTTGAGGTTATTCTGCTGGGGCTGCTTTCCTTTTTTGCATGCTCTTTGGTCAGGGAAAGAAGCAAATGCCAGAGGGTCTTGGTCAGGATAATAAGCAATGTGGGAGGGTTTCTTCACCAGCTGCCGTTATAACATCCTGTGCTACTCTTATGGTGATTGGGCTGGCATCACCATGAAGCAGTAAACATGCCTTGCAAGAGTTCAGGACTTGCAATTTTCAGCACAGTGTTTGCAAATAATGTCTAAATACACTTTACCTGTAATGGTGGCTTCCTGCTCCACAATTTGTGTGAGCAGCTTGTCCCTAATGTTAAATAAAAACAAAGTTATCATCTTACCTGCAGATTTATAATCATGAAATTTCTTTATAGTGGAGATGAAGGGTGTTTCCTCACAAATGCTGCTGTTTGGATTAGGATCGTAGTGATGAGGTAAAGTGTAATCACAAGTCACTGCATTCTGGAGGATCTGCTGGTCACCCAACCTTATCAAACTGAGTAGAGAACCATGCATTGTTGCTTTATTCCTTGTGAAACTTTTGTCTCAACAGATGCCATCAACTGGTCAAGAGCAAATGCTTCTAATTCACACAAGAACTGGTCATGTGGCTGAAATTTCAATATAATTCCAGGAGTGTTTGCAGCACTACCATCAGTAGTTTGCAGTACTTGGAGCCATGCAATGCCAATAGTCTTGAATCTTCTGGGACTCCCACTGGTTCTCTTAGAGTTAAGGTCCAACATATCCACTTGAAATATGATATGAAAATGAATGCCATGAAGTCAAACCTATTGTAAGTATGCAATTTGCAATGAAAAGTATTGGAATCCTCAAAAGTTGAATTGGACTTCAACTTGGCCCTTGCCATGGGCTCTATTGGGAAACAATGCAGGTAACAATGAGTTACTGCTATTTAGTGTTCAGAAAGATATGAACTTTGAATTGACTAAACTGCATTACAAGTGAATTTCAATAAGAATGTAATGTTATTTTTTTGGAGGGTACTGACCCAACCTCCCTAAGCTCCACCTCCAGTGGGCAAAGCAAGGAAGCCAATATTTTTTTCATCCATCTTGGTATTGAAGGAATGGAGTGGCATGTGTACATACCACTGGGTTTTTCTCCATAGAGGTGTGCGATTGACAACATGCATTTTTTGACAGTGAAAGAGGCTTATGGAAATCTGTAATCGAGGATCATATTCAAACTTGTTTGTAGGCCCTATCACAGTCATGGCACCAACAATGGTAGCAATTAGGCTGGATGGTATTTCGAAAATACCAAAGTATCACAATACCCCACACCCTCCTTCATTCCCCACTCCAAACCTGCTTGCTAGGGAGTGGGGTCAGTAATCCCTAAAAATGGGCCCTCTGTACTGTATCTCATTATTCAAGTACCCAGTATATGAACAGCACCACCAGTAATGGCTTCCTTGGGTGGTACTGAAGCTGGAGACATCTTCCTGCTACATGGCTCATCCATGTCCAATGATAGATCCAGAAAATTTTCAGGGAGGGGAACTGAATCTCAGTAGACTGGCAAGCAGGAGAGGAAAAGAGAGGAAAAGCTGGATGGGACTGCCTGAAAATATATACCTGAAACAATCATGAGGGATGGTCCTGGTTTGGCCACTGTCAATGTATATATCTTTTTTCTGGTCTTCCTCTTCATTTTTGTCAACACTGTTTGTCAGCCCGGTGCTGGAAGGGTTTGAACAGATCTCAAGTAGATCAATGCCACTGTATCCAAACTGATCAAGGGGTTCTGTGTAATTGGACACTGAAATGCAAACTTACTGGTGCAATGCCTTGTGGCATGTGTACGTGCCATCTATATATTGACTCATCCCATTAGAGCTCTATAATGAGTCAGGTATCCCTTTATTTTGAAATTGTTTCCCACACTATTTGACAACTAGTTGAAGCCCAGATCCTCAGGGTCTAACTCAGAGTGCAAGGCTTGGCCAGGAAAATGATTCAGAAATATTGACCTTTGATCTCTAATATCTCAAAGGGGAAAGGTTGCATATAAAAATGAACTTGACTGGGAAACCCAGGGGATTTAGTAACTCACACGCAATGAAGGAGGTTATTTTGACAAAAAATAACCCTGGTGACCCAAGGCGACCCAGTGATCCATCAGAGGCAGGGCCACCAAACTGTCATCCTGATGCATCACCCCTAGGAAGCCTATGTTTAAACTTTCGAAGTTTCAGTGTCAGAAATCAAAATGTCTAGGAGGAGAAGTGGCCTCAGACACAGACCCTTAAGCTCATTAGTAAGGTAGATGCAGTTTAACATGGATCCTAATTGTGATCAATAATGAGCTTTTATGGTTGGAGACAATGCAGGCAACCATATTAGAATTACCAAGTTCACAATTCCCTGTTATGATGCTGACTGAGTTTGATAAGGCACTGACATTTTATTTTTGGGAGCTCTCTTTAACCTTGCTATGGCTTATAGCATGATTCATGACACGGAAGCCATTTTATTGGGGGTTTCAAAATTTTAATACTCTGCATGTGTACCTGCCACAGGGATTGAAGAGAGTAACGGTGGAATTAATGATTAGCATTCGGACAGAAATGTTCAAAATCAATTGGGAGTAGCCACTCTTGATATGATCTTCCAAGTTGAAGGGGGGGGGGAGTCAAGGGATCTTGAAGTCAGTAACTCCTATTGGTTTTGTTGCAGGTTGTAAAATGCAATAGTGGAATTCCATTTTTTTTTTGCTGTTTTCAACACTGGTAAAATGATGTACATATGGCAGAGAACTTTATTGCATTAAAATTTCATGTTTGCTCCAAAGGTCAAAGGGGTGTAAATCTAGCTGCATTGAAGAACATAGATCTATGTTGGTGTGATGACCACAAATTCCCATTGATACTTGAATTTAAATATTTATACTCATAGAATGTATTTTCATTTAGATTCCATGGCTAAACCTGGTTTTAAAGATTATTTTAAAATATTGTATGTTAAGGAATGCACAGTAAAAGATTCACTCTAAAACAGACCTGTAAAATTCCCAAACCAGTGGCAAGCACAGTTTGTGGTTTAGTGAGAAAACAGCCTGGCTAATGAAAGTAAGATGACCTGGGGAGTAAGAAGGAAACAAAAATAGTACCACCTCATGCAAGTTTCTATTTACTTCCTCCTTTTTCCTTTTCTCTTCTGTAGGCTTAAACAGGGTGGGCCAAAAAAAAAACAAACAAAACAAAGCTATCATTTTTGGTGAGTCTTCAATCTCTTTGTAGGCTGCTGATTTTAATTAAAATTGGTAGACTTATAGATTGACACAATTGGAGTTTGTATGCCAAATTTCCCCTCTTTACTCTAAACTTATAAGAGCTGTAATTATTTTCTGATCAGCCACAAAATGTGCTGTCGAAAATATTGATATGAACTTGAGGCTGGGATGAAAGGGAGGTCCAAATTCATGAACTTCCATCCCTGCATGATGCTACAAAGGAAGATTGGGAGGCACGTCCTCAAAGGTTTATTGACCAAGCCATTGATCTGTGGTGTTGCAGACTAGAGGCTAGTGTTTAACAGAATGGAGGGCACATTGAGCACCTTTTCAGTTGAAATGAACATCCCTAAACCAAATTGTGGGCTTTCATGTGTGGCATTTGTTTTTGTTCTATTTGCTTGTTTGTTTTTGTCAGTTGTGAAAGATTTTAAGCTGAAAGAAAAAATTAACACTTTTTTGGTGATGAAATGTAAATTAAATGCCAATTCACAGTTTTTGTAAATTTTATTTGAAACCTGGCACACAAACCCTAATTGAGTCACCCTATATGTCTACTAAATTTCATAAAAATTGGCAACCTACAATCAGATTGACAACTTGCCAAAAATGATAAGCTTTGGTTTTTTTTTGACCCACCCTGTAGATACCCCACTGCTCAGGTTTATTGTTTTTGGGATGGTTTATTTTCTGGGAGATTTTCCCTCCCATTCTCCTCATTCATTTAGATGTTGCATGCACAAAGTTATTAAAGTCAACATTTAGGTTATTCTTCTTAATGGAAATTTGACAAACCCTCTTATTTGAGTAAAATTTTGGTCTTTCAAATTACATCCTATTAGAAATATTTTTATGTTTTGCTTTGCAGTTGAGAGTCCCAAGGATAGAGGTCACCCTTATTGTCCACCATGGATGACGAAGGCTCCTCAGACTCCAACTTTCAGATTAGCAATCCACCAACCCCTCGTAGTATGGATTTGGAGAACAGTATTGTCATGGGACTGAACATCCAGAACAACAGCTTCCTCCCTGCACAGAATGTGGGTCGAACTCAGCCTTCTCAGTCCAAGTATGCTCAGCTGCTGGCTGTCATTGAGGAGCTTGGAAAAGACATTCGCCCTACGTATGCTGGTAGTAAGAGCAGTGCAGAACGCTTAAAGAGGGGTATTGTTCATGCCAGGATCCTAGTTCGTGAATGTCTCATGGAAACTGAGCGCAGTGCACGGCAATGATGGCATCTACTTGCAAGACACTAGTGTCCTTTGATACCATTCTGAATGCTGATTGTGTGGAGTGGTGTCCCATTGAAGGTTTACGGGATATATTTGTCTGTGGTACATATCAATTAGAAGAGATTGGGAATGGAAGCCAACGTGTGGGACTCCTCCACCTCCTTGCATATTTTCAGGAAGATCAAACTCTGAGAATCTTGCAGACACTGAAGAATGTACCAGGAATTCTAGATGCAAAATGGTGCTCTGACAGGATTCATAATAGAGTTGTTCTGGCAATAGCCAATGCTTCAGGTTATGTTTGTATTTATGAATTACAACAAGGGAAGAAACTAGTGAAGTTGGAGGAGAGAAGTCTGGAAGGCATTGCCTTATCTTTGGATTGGTCAAGAGTGAACAAGCTAGATCCTCTCCTGGCCGTAAGTGTGTCTGTGGGAAAAGTGTTTATATTTGAACTGACACATGTTGAGCTAGTTCTCAGGGCTTCTCTTCCAGTATCTGGCTTTGAGACTTGGGTGTGTGGATTTGACTATTGGAACTCCAGCATTGTATATGCAGGTATTAGTTATTTTTTTTTACTGTTTTGCAATGCAAGAAAGAGTGTAATTGAAATATAGGGTGGTTAAAAAAAAACGCTCTACCATTTCCTATGGGAGAAACACAGTTTCATAAAGGCAGCAAAAAATTTAAATTTTACTACACAATTGATATTTGACAGTTACTAGCTGCTGAATTGCTTGTCAGTTTTTTTTCAGCTCCCCTGCCTAAGTTGTGCTTTTCCCACTTAAAGGTGAATTAAAGGTGCTTTTAGGTGGATCATTCCACCTCCTGTGGACTGATTACCTGTGCTCGATCATCTCAGAATTCAATGAACTTTTCAATGTTAACTTTTTGAAGGAAAGCTGGATCCAGTTGGTACTTGGCAGAGGTTCATGAATGAAATAGGTTCTTCCTTTCACTTCCTCAAGATGGCACTGTTCACATAGGTGACCGAGGGTGAGTTTTAAAAAAAAAGGTGTAATGCTCCACCTGTAAACTGTGTAATGGGGCAAATACATGGCTTAGAGAATTCTTCAAAGAAAAAGAAGACAATCTTCTCAACACCTCCACCTCCTTCCCAACACCAATATCAGGGACTTATGAATCTTCTTTTAAAAATCACCTTCAGTCTCCTGGTCAACAACAGTGCCATCTTGAGGAAGTGAAAGGAAAAACCTATTTGATTCATGAACCTCTGCCAATTATCAACTGGATCCAGCTTTCCTTTGAAAAGTTAATGTTGAAAAGTTCATTGAATTCTGAGATGGTCAAGGACAGGTAATCAGCCCACTGGAGGTGGAGTGATCCACATTAAAGCACCTTTAATTCACCGTTACGTGGGAAAAGCACGATTTAGGCAGGGGTGCTGAAAAAAAGCTGGAAAGCATTTCAATAGCTTGTAACTGTCAAATATCAATTGTGTAGTAAAATTTAATTCTTTTGCTGCATTTATGAAACTGTGTTTCTCCCATAGAAAACAGTAGTGTTTTTTTTTAACCACCCTATATTCTTTATTCTCTTGTCAGGTGGGGATGAATGCCAGCTCTCTGTATTTGATTGGAGGGATCCCACAGCTTGTACTTTTCGAGTTAAGTCTCCATTCACGATGGGAGTCACTTCTCTCCAGTCCAATTTGCATGATCAAAATTCCCTGGCAGTTGGAAGGCAAGTCCTATTTGATATGATCTTCACTTGAGGGATCTCAAACATTTCCTCGTGTTAAGCCCAAAGTTTGACAGCTGCATTTGGTTCACTGAAGCGTACAAGGGGTACTCTGAAAGTTCTTGCCAAATGGCATTAAATATCCCCTGATCTTAATGAAATTTGTTTGTATTGTATTTCAAGGTTTAAATAAGATTGTGAGTTCTATTTTTTGCTAATAAGGTGATGCATAGCATAAGACCAAAAGAGGTCACCCCGAGGACAGATAACTCAGAAAGATTTGCAAATGCTGATTCCAAAGATCACTTGTTAAACTATGTTTCAAAGGGATTAAATCATCCCTGGATGATCTTTCTGCCACCACATCAAAGTTGAAGCTCCTCTTTTGAATTTATGTACCATTTCTTCATAGAAATTTACTCATAATTTTAAACCTCGGTTATGGCATGTAGGACCCAAAAAGAACAAAATTAATAAACTCCAAGAATTTCATGCAGAATTTTTTTAAATGCCAGTGCTCCAATCCCATGGATCTCCTATATGACAGAATGTTACATTTTTGGTTTTCCTCAATCATGGCCTTCACTTCAGCACATTTGTTTTGTCACTTGCTGAAATTGAACTATCTTCACAGGACTCAGCCCCTATGCAAAAATGTCCACAATTAAACTTTCAATACCAGTCATGCACAAATTACATAGATGGGGCAAGATCAGGCAGCTAAGGGCTGCTGTTTATTAATTGACTTGAAAGGATAAATAAAGGTAACCAGTGAGCATAGAAACTGTGATTCAAAGGAGGTAGAGATGCACATAGGTCTTGGGTGTGGTGAGACTGATTGATTAAGCAATGCAGGGTGTCTTTTTGTTAGTTTGACCTAATTTGACATTTGTAGTGGATTGCTGTGAAATTTCACATGGAGATGATTGCACATGCTACAATAACTTCACACCTGATCAAGACAGTGGCCTCACTCAATGTCATATTAATTTTTAAATTACCTCCTTTCCAATGAATATGCTCACAAACATGAGGCAAATCTAAAAAATTATACTTGATCAGTGTCTATCTCTTTTGTTTCAGCTATGATGAAACTTGTTACATCTGGGACACCAGGAGTTGGAAGAAACCAGTTTCAGAGCTTCATCTTGGAGGGGGTATTTGGCGAGTTAAGTGGCACCCAATTGAACGTGATACATTGGCTATTGCTGCCATGCATAATGGATTCCATGTGTTGCATTTGAATGATGCAGGTGTCCTCACTCCATCTATCAAGTATGATCAGCACAAGAGTTTGGCTTATGGTATTGATTGGTGTCTTGCCACCAAGAATGTACTGGCATCATGTTCATTCTATGATCATCATTTGAGTGTCTGGACCTTTAACAAAGAAATGATCATGTGAGATGATTCCTCTCATCAGCAATTACTTTATTGCCCTTTCTATGGCCTCATCAAATATATTTTCACAATTCCTGTGGCCTTCAATCACAAGGCAGTCACACCTAAGAGGGGACGGGCAGCTAGACCAAACATCAGAAAGTAGTGGAAGCTAGACATCCATGCACATTTGTGTTCTGACATATCACTTGCATGAGTGATCAGTGCTAGACTTTGTCACACAGACAAATGATAACCATGTGGGATATGCAGGATACTTGATCGGCAGTCAGTGTTCCTGTAATGCTATCACATAAAATTGTGCTTCCACATCTGCCTAGGCTCTGTCTTCAGAGTTCAACAATAATCCTCATCTTACAGGTACAGGTCATTCAACAGATTCAGAACAATGCAACAAACTCAAGTCTATTGAGACGAGAATAGTAGGAAGAATGTATTTGCAGCATGACTAGGCCTGCGTATCTGAGATTTCAGAATGAACCTATGTGCTGTTTATTCAATCATAAAACTGCTCTCTAAAATTAGCTGAAAGATGGTAATCTTGAAGTTCTAAATCTATATAAAGTTTGGACAATATATTATTGAATAGTCTATTCAAAGTCTTTCAAATTTGTAGCTGCCTGGCATCATTTCAGGACAACAAACCAATTGAACAACAGTACAAATAATGGTCCAATGTTTAACACAATAATGGTCCAATGCATAACATATGCAATACACCTAAAACATGAAGGGGAAATGAAAATTTCAAACTTAAATGTCCTTCACCATGTCATGCGAAATGAACACAAGAGACTTTTACTTTTGAGATTCAAAAATCATCAGGCAGAAGAGAGGAACGCTCCACAATCACAGACTATAGAACATAAGAATGGCACAAAAAACAAGTAAGGATGGTGGAGGTTGACTCTTAATGTTAAATCCACCTGCACAATGTGGTTGGAATCATTGCACTTATAGTTGGCTCTGTTGGGCCAATTGCACCTTGGAGTGAGGAAAAACATGAAATTGAGGTCCCAGAGTTCCTGTCTCAAACAAGAGTTCCATACCCTCGAAGGGCTCTGGTGTCTCCATGGGAAGTGACATTAACTGATACTTCATTTGGGGAGACAAGGTTCAATGTGACACTGTGGAGGTTGTGATGGCTCACCTGCTGACTTGTCATGATGCTAAGTGCATCTGTGTCCATGCTGGTGATGTCTGTTGGAGGTGCGTTGGCTGGTCGAGAGCGCTCCAGGTCTGCCATGATGTGCTGACAGATGCGAGATTCCAGGGGCACTGACTCTTCATTGTCTCGATTGTAGATGAGGGCACAGATGAGCACTGGGTGTGGGATTGGCAAAGGGATCATCAGCTTCTGCTTCTCTGTCTCAAACTTGGTACGGCTGTTGAGTGGCCCGGTCCTGAATAGAAAGAGTACTTTCTAGGTAACGTGATAAACATATGAACAAAAAAACTTTAGCATGGAACACAATATAAATATATTGCCTTTGTTGGAGGTCTCTTTAAATGCAGGGAAGCAAGAGCCATGAACCAAATGAAGAATAATAGTTGGCATAGTACCAACCTTCAGTACAGGCCAACATTCATAAGACCTAACTACTGAAACACAAATGAGGAATTTTCTGTTAAACTGTCAGGTAACCCTAGTAATGGTTTATTGTTATTCTGTTTTTTAATTTTTTATTGCATGTAGAAATGAAATTTTCTATCCTACTCTCTGATTGGGTTAAGTACAACACCCTACATTCAACTGCAGTTTTCATTGTCTGACCATAGCTGCAATAATAAGATAGATTGGTGAAACTCTATCTTGTTAGAAACCTTCATGACCCCTATGCCAGGAATCTTTGGAAAACAGCCTTCTGAGCGAAGGCTAGGACTGCAGTTTAATGAGATGGAAATAGTGAGCCTAGTTTTCTTGGTTGGTTGGCCTACAGTTATTTATATTTCCAGAACACGAGTGGCATGCATTAAAAAAATACACGTGTTAGATGAGAAGCTTCTATATAATATGCACTTTCAGGATTGCTTGACTTTAGTCATCACCAGCTTATACAGGGTGTAACAAAAGTAACAAAATTACCCTTCTTTTAGCCATTTTTAATTGATAGTCATTTTACTTAACATTTACATACATACATTTTTTTTTTTCTTTTAGAGTTATGGCCTTACAGTTGACCAAAGAGCAAAGGATCAATGCTGTGAAACACTACTATAGAACTGGAAATGCCATTGAGCCAAATTGTGTGAGAATTGTTGGATGAGCTTGGTTTGGCAGATGGGGCTGGGTGGAATGGTCTCCATGTTCACCAGACCTGAGTCTCCCAGATTTTTTTCTTTGGGGTGTTTTGAAGGATAAAGTGTACAGTGAAAAGCCAACAACCATTGTACAACTCAAAGAAAAAATTTTGAATGGCCTTACAATCTATTGAGCAAAATCTTTGCAAGAAAGTATGCAGGTCTATGCCTTATCATTTTGGGCAATGCATTGAGAATGAAGGACGGCATTTTGAAATCTCTTCTCTTTGAGATTACTTCATTTTGCTACTTATGCGTAACTTTGGTTTAATTGTGAATATACTTGTTCATTTTGCATTACTTTTGCTACACCCTGTATATCAATTCTCCTTGCTCTACTCATGGAACACAATTTGCATTCATCATTTGGAAGGAACTAACCTCTTCCTGGTTTGTGTTTTCCGAGTCAGGAATGGACGGACAGTGGGATTGAAGCAATCAGTGTGCAGGTATGGTGAGTGAATTGTAATATTTTTGCGCTTGTGGCAAGTGAGCATCACACTGGACATGTCCTCTGGGAAATGGGTTGCTTCCACCTCAAAACGACTCAGGTCCAAATGAGACTGGAGAAGAATCAAGAATCAACTTAAGGTCATAAAATGCTTTCCTGATGACAAAAAAAAGAAGTGGGGGATCTCATGAGGAGATGAATCAACTAGACTAGTAACTGTTGTCTAATAGGATCAGGGAATCTGTAAACTTGATTGAATGGATGTGAGACATGGGTATAATGAGAAGAGTCCATCCAGTCTGCTTTCATTTGGCATCCAAATTCAGACTATATACTGAGCATAAAAACTCTGAAATGGAGGAGATAAGGGTTGTAGTTATTTTTAAATTCTAGAATCCAGCTCATTCTCCACCTAGATCTCTTCATTTACTGCTTATCCACAAGCTTTCAATCAAGATGCTTCAAGACTGTTTATCAAAGACTTGAATTATGGCTCAACTTGTCAGTACAAGACATTATGATCTTGTACTCACCAATCCAGGTTGTATCATGTCAGATTCAATGCAGATTTTTACTATAACTGTCTATAAGAGCAGATCCCTCTCTACTGTGTTCAATTTCTTACAGGTCTATCCTTTCCTGAACAGCTTCCACATCAATGTCTTCAAGAAAATTCTCTGATCACGCAAAAAAGAGCCCTTCAAGCTCACTCAGAACAGGTCTATTTCAGTGGAAACTATCCCATTGAAGGCAGTGGTATATAAAAGGAAAAAAGTGTTCCACTCTGGTCTGCATAGGTGTGTGCAGCTGCCCCAATGATAAAACATCTTTTCCACACTATTATGCAATGAAATCATGAAACAGGTCTCGACACTCTTGATTTGCTGAGCTTTTCATGTGGTGGGATCAGCAGGCAAAGAGGGATGGTGGCATTAATACAAAATGCAGTTACAGGATCATAAGCTGAATGGGTGAGCCATTGTCAAAAGACAACAAAATTGAAAGGTATGGAGGAAGAAAGTAATGTGAGTATCAAAGATGATGTTGTGCTACTTCTTCGATATAAATATGCAACATATGAGTGCTTCTTCCTCTCCCCTCTCTTATCCAAGAGGCTGCCTGGATACAGAAGGAATGCAGATAGCACATACTTTCACAACACCCTCATTCCCATGGAGTCCAAAGATAATGATCCTTTCACTCAGGTTGAGTGGATCCCATGCAAGTATTTGATTAGATTAATCAATTAAATGCCTTATGATGAAACAGCTGTTGCTAAACAACAATTGGCAGGGGTTCATTTTAAGAGCTAACTCAAGAGCCAACTGTTCAAATTTCAAATACCTCAAGCTGAAACCGTGTCTCGCCATCTTCTAATACACAGAGGAAACCAGGGCTGAAAATCTCAGAAAAAAAGAGAGCAGCAAGACCAGGCCAGTCTTCCACAAGGAGCCCTTTTTCCTCCCAGAATTCAGTGGGTGGGGTGGACAGACGACTGAGCACTCGGCTTGGATAATGGCGGCACAGCATTGATGCACCATGATGTAATGCCAGCTGCACAAATGACAAAAAGTGTTATCATATTCTTCACTTCCCTTGGAGAAGCAAAGAAGCATGCTATCAATACTAATTACAGAAGGGTTACCCAGGAAAAGTGGGCATCCTATTACTTTTTCAGCTGATATTAAAGATAAGGGGAAGATGCCTCTCTGGCACATCATGAGGTAAGCTCTCTAATCCAATATATCTCACCACTGATTACTTGGCATTTTTTTCAATGCCAGGGATCATCATGGCAAACTGTATGGATACAAGAATGCAAGGTATTATTTTGACTAAGCCTTAGAGGCATTTCAAAGTGCATTTTTGTGAGAAGTCAAGTTGACTCAAAATTTCATAAATTGATCATATTGCCATACCAATTGGTTTACATAGTGTTCATCTGCAAGGTGGTCTTTTGAAGGCAACTCTGTATATAAAAATCTATTCTATTGACTGGCTGCACACAACTTGTAATGTTTTACCAGTAGCTTTCAGAGCACAAAAATATTTTCACCAGAACACTAGACTATTCATGATTATGGTTATGATTTTGTTGCCTTAAAACTTAACTACATCACTGCTCTAGAATCATCCCCACTTGCCCCCAAGTATTGGGCTAAGTGGACACCTCCCCCCCCCCCCCAAAAAAAAACCTAACATATATCTGAGAACATAAAATTGAACATATTTATATTTATCAGAAATATAGTGAAGTAGATGGTGATCTTGTATACCCAAGAAGATTGCAGTTTTTTTTCATAATTTAAGTGCTGACACCCGATGAAAATTGTTCTCCTGTAAAATAGGGGCCCACTTACTTCAGGAAAAATTAATATGAAGAAAAGGAAGTCAAAGACAAAAAGGGGAAAAATTGAATATACACAGCTATGTGGAGGCATTGGACTGGAAAAGCCCCAAAGATGTACAATTATTCCTCATTTCCCACTCATTGTATTTGGCTAATTATTTTAATTGAGATGCAATAAGGATGAATTCTACCTGATTTCCAAGATTTCAATAAATCAATGTTGAAAAAGCTGATTGCAATATCCATATAATATATTCCATATACACTATTTGAAGTGAAAATTTAAAGTAAAAAAACCAACTGATCTGATGCCTGATATCCAATAGCCAATTGAATATCATAACATCTCTATGCTTTAATAGCCTGAAAATCCCTAATCTGCAATAAAAGTCAATTGCAAGGTGCAGATATTTCATCACCTTCAGCTGCCAATCAGGCATTCGGACACGGTTCCGAATATCGGCTGGGAGCTGCAGAGTGAGCTCCTTGGTTCTCCTTCGCACTCGGTCTTCCAGAGTCTGTAGGAGGATCATGGCTTCCTTCTCCAGTTGGAGATAAATCCCTGTTGACGTCACAGTGGCTGAGAATGGCTGGAATACTTGCTGAATGAAACGTCTAGAAAGCAGAAACAGTTTCCTCCATTTCCAAGGTTGGAAGACTTCAGTATTAGTGCAATAATTTCATATCAAAGGCAATATCCCCTACCGAAGGTCTTCCTGAGGTTTACGAATGAGCTTCTCCATTTGCTGAGCATATGCACGAAGTTCTTCCCCTTCAATCCTCAGTTCCAAGGATGCTAATGCCTGAGGAACTGTTATCTACAGGGTTCATGATAAACAAGACAAAAAATCATGCTGTCTTACTTAAAAAACAACCATAATCTGTAATCCAGGTATTTCAGTAATAATTAGTAATAGGTCAATAAAACAATTAAGTACATGCATTGCTACTAATAACTGTGGCTCCATTCTCAAACATTACGAGCTAACCTGATAATAAAAGTTTGAACCAAGTCCAGGACCAGCAACACGGCTTGCAAACAGGGTGTCCACAGCTGGAATCCTTCCAAGGCGTTTTATCAGGGTTTCCAGCATGATCCAGTCCCATGCAAGACGTGCATAATATTGAAGAAACCCAGCTGCCATAAAAATAATTATAAAATTATGCAAGGAAAGGCATAGCAAATAAGGTGTTTTTTGATAATGCTCACCCAAGAGGACAAATGCAGCTAAGATGGGACAAACAATGGCTCCCAATAGAAATGCAATTATGGGTTGGATGATTCCAAGTATAACAATTTTCCAGACAACAGCCAGGATGATGGGAGAGAAGTATTGACACTGTATGCTGAATTCCGTGAGCTCAGGTGAGTCCAGATCATAAATAAGGATCTTGAATAAGTGGAAGCCCAGCACAAGAACCAGCATCCTGACATAATAAAACATCTTAATGATGCAAGACTAGACATTCTGAATATGTGGAAAGAGTGAAATGTGTCTGGTACCAGATAGGTGCAGCAATGGTAAGGAGGAGGCTTGCACAGCAGACAAGCAGGCAGGTAAGTGGGAAGAAAATGCAGAGGAACAAAGAGCCCAGTCCACCCTTCAATACATAGTTCCAGGACCAATTGGCATGGCGGGATATTTCATTGCCAAGAAAAGCTGTGTAGAAACCATTTTTTTAATTATTATTCATTCTATCCAACAAGACAAAATCACATCTGTGGCACAATCTTACCCATGCTTGGTTTGCTTTTGAATGAGGTTCTCTCATGAGAAACATGTTTCCATAGCAGTCGAAGCTGGGACTGCAAGGTCTGGCGGGTTGAAGATGGCTGAGGGCATAGTGATCCATTCACCTGTACAGTATAGAAATGAATGTCTTTTCAGTGAGATGACAGCATCATTTGTCATGAACTTGTGGGAGAAACCATTTTCAAGGAAGAACTTGCCTGGGACAATTCATAATCAGCCATGAAGGGCTCTGCTGAGATGAGTGCTTGAAGGCTGATAGGACTTGTCCATGGAATCACATACTGAAATGTGACAATACTATTCCATGCAAGCATAGAATTTATAAATTATTTTCAGAAATAATTTAGGTGAAACTCACCCCAAAGAAATAAAAGGCATTGTTGGTCCAAGAATAGAAGCAATGGATGAAGTTGAGCCACCTCCAAAAGAGCCAACGTGATGAAGTGGTCCTTGTCCGGAATTTTTCCAGGAAGTATGTTGGCTGTGGGAAATGTTATTTGTAGAAGATACGTAGAATACTCATAAAAGCAAAGGAGAAACTTCAGTGTGTGAGACCTCTCGAAGTGCTGAACGAGGACGTGTCATGGGTGCAGTCTGATTAGAGACCACAGTGGGTATGACCTCACACTGCCCCTGGTAAAGACAATGGATAACCCACTTCTTTGGATCCCATATGTGTGAATACCACCGATATGTCCGAGTGGGTTCTTGGAGACACTGCAACTCTTTCATCAGCACTGGCTCCCTCTGACAAAAAAAAAAAAGAAAGATATATAAGAAAAGTCTTTTTTAAAACCTTTCTTAAGGAATTTTTTAGGTTGGCCACTGACCTCTTTCATGAAAATGAGATCTCGGGACAGAAAGTACAGAGTCTGGTTGAGATTGTGGTCCCGGCACAGAGACAAAGCCTCCTCATGAGCACTCCACTGATGTTGGGCCACAAATTCAGCCTGTAGCACCAAGAACAAATGGGATGATGGCACATTCTAATTCATAGGCAAACTTCAACATGAAGAAAAAAAGATACCTCTGCCTGCAGAAGCCTCTCTTCCATCCAAGCTGGAATCTTTGAGAGAATAGGATGGTTAATCTTCAGACGTTTCTCCTTTTCCAACCATGTCCGGTTCCACATTTCATGTACATTGTCCATTGCTCTATTTAAAAAAAGACAGAAATGATGATTGAAGTAGAATAGCAGATTCTGAAAATCTAGAAAAGAACCAGAACAGAAAAATTCTTCACCTTCCCATGAGAATGACAGACTTGGCTTGCTCTACTAATAGCTTCCCCAAGCCCTCCCCAGGGGCTGCAATATCAGGGTTCTCCAATATGCTACGAAACACTCTCCGTAAATATTCATCCATCACAGCTAGATTTGTTTCCTGTTTGAATCATAATGCGATCATTGGATCTTTGTCAAAAATTGAAGTTATCAATGATTTTTGGCATGAATCAAGTGGGGTAACCTTTTCAATATCAGCATCTGAGAGGAGTTGATCTTTGAATTTAGCCAAGTGCTGTTCTTTGAAGTGAAGAAACCAGCCCTTTGTTTCCCGTTCCAAAATCCCGACCAGAATCTGTGATAACCTCCTCATCAGCTGCCTGTAATGAAATAAATACCAGGAGCTCTTTTATCCTATCAGTTCTCTTCAGGTCCATCTTAGGTTGGAATGGTACATAGATTAAGCTAACCGGTCAAAAAGTCGAAGATCTACATCACTGCCCTTGGGAGTACGGAACACAAGGGGTATAGGTGGGCAGGGAGGGATCATATCCACATCATCATTCACCTTCCCTTCCAATTCCTTCTCTCGACGTACTACTTGATCCTTGATAAAGTGGCATAGACCATCCAAGTCGCACTCATCTGATGACTGGGAATTGGGAGATAGTCACGACTGTCAACTTCATCATGTTGGGAGGAGCATACATTAGATGGTTATGTGCAAATACCTGGCACAGCAATTCAACTACTAGATACTTTGCTCGCTCCTCTTGCAGTCTTTCCATTATTCCCTTTGAACCAAGTGATGGCAATCCAATCAATGCATCTGGGCAAAAAACAAGACAAAAAGTTTAATAATAAACTGAAAGATAGGTCTAATATATTGTCAATATGACAGGCCAATAAATTAACTAAGCTCTTCTTTCTATACTCACCAAGAAGCTGACATAAACCTTCTTTGAGTGACCTGATCCCAGCCCGAACACTGAAGTTGTCGGATACAAATCTGTTCTTAGCTGAGATAATAATTAGACAGAGAGAGAGTGCCAGGCCTTCCTGGAGAGATTCTTCTGTCTTCCCTTTGCCCTTCTGAAGAAGTGAGCACAGCCTCCAACGATGCACTTGCCCAGGGAAATTCACGCTCTCCACCTCAAATTCACTGTGAAAATAAGAACTTCACATCCAGGGAGATTCCGAAAAAATTCTTGTTTTGAAGGAATCAACTTGAATTACCCTTCCTGTCTGATACATTCGATTTGAGAAGGAGTCAGTTTCTTAAGCTGACCCTGAGAGTCAAGGGCTATTCTGTCAAGTTCTTCAAAGGATGGCTCCACAAACAATTCATTTGGGTTGATGGATTGGGACGATCTTGGGCCCTCACTTTGACTGCGACTGATGGGTTCAGGCACTTGAATGGGGAAGCTCTTCCAGTGAAATAAAGATGTCTTAGCTGCCTGTGATATAATGGCATACAAAGGGAGAAAGGGAGTGAAATATAACAGGCACATAGTATCATCAGTGGTATGATTTAAAAAAATATGACAATCACCTGCTTCACTTGACGGAGGGCCAAAACAATATCAGGAGGAAGGCCTTCATATTTGACATCAATCTTGAGGGGCTCAAGCTAGAAGGTGAATAATAATACCAACTGGCATGAACCTTGTTCAATAACACTACAGGGTCCTGCTGAAATGGGGGATTTCTCCTAATGTGAATTTAGATGGTCTTAGTACCAGTACTTCCAGATTCACTTCACACATGTTGATGAGTTATAACTTTTTTGGATAAGCAGAATGAATGTTAATAAAGATTTCGATTTCAGGTAAACAAACACAAAAGTATAAGTATGGGCTTGTTTCTCTAAATTCTGAGCAAAATTTTACCAAACTTGGCTTCATGTTAACACTTTGAAAAAGTAAATAGGTCTATTCTAGAAAAGGTTACTGATCTTCATGTCCATGTCCATAGCCTTACAACTATAAGGGACATCTAGCATTAATGGCCACAAAGGTGATGGAACCTCTTATCTTTGCCTATATTATGATCAAGTTGGAAAGACTGTAATGCAGGAAATGTGAGGGCGATCTAGAGGTTTGCTCCCCCGCCCCCCCTCCAGAAAATAGCTCAATTTTATGCATTACTTTGGATACATAAGGGTCTGCTTATGCCTGATTGGTATGTTACTGATGGTGTCTAATTAAAATGACTTTAATATATAATTATTGAAGTTGATACCTTGACCCAGAAACACTGCATTCCAGGTTTCAAAGATACAGAAGGAAGAAAGAAACAAGAAAAAGTAAAAAAATGTTTCTCTGTATTGATAATATGACATTTCTCTTGGTTTTGAAGTGGCTGCAAGGTGGACAGTACAAATTTGGGACTGTCCTACAGAAAGCAGGATGGTTAGTCATCCTGAGATCACCCTATCCAGAGCTGCCTTATCTAGTTATCTTCATGGCAACCTGCACCTTACTTATATCCCAAGTATCCCTCCTATGCCTACCTATTGTGGGTCATTCTAACAGCACAAATCTCAGGTGAAGTTAATGAATTGATAAGACTAACTTCACCTGAGGAATATAAAAATAAAAGATAGAAAGTGGAGAAGCAGAGGATGAACCCAAACATTCAGTACTGATGCTCATGTCATAAACAATAGGGTTAGCAACTTGCAGTTGAGGTGATGTTAAGTGGTGGTGATATTGTGAGAGTGGTTGCCACAACTCTGTATAGTCTTCTCATTATTTCCTCCCTTTGTCCCAAATTCATATTAAATGTTCTAGCTGCTCTACATACAAGATATTCCATCACTATTGAATACAGACCAATGTTGGGCCTCATGTACACCTTAATGCTATTAAAATATCTAGCATAAAAAAAAGTGCTTTACGTAAATAATGTTAATGCGTTTCACTATATTACTCCCTCTTACCTGAGGTCCACCAGGGTATAACTGAGGTCCTGCAGTCTGGACATTCTCATCAGCTGATCCTTCTGCTTCTGAATTACTAAGGTCCGCTTCCTCACTACTCAGCATTGTTCTATCACAGAATGTTTACGCTAAATATGTTGCACCCGACAGCCCCCAGGTTCCTGAATAAAGTCATGTCGTGGCCATCAAGCCATCATACGATGCACTTCGAAGTCATTTTGGAGCAGGAAAGAACGAAAATGTGCGGGACGTCTATGATTCGCCAATGAAAAAATAAACCACGTGCGTTGAAGGACGAACCAGGGATTTAAAAATGGCCGACCCCACGTTCAAAGGCATATTAACCTTCATTTAATACATATAGGCCCTCACACTATCTCTGGGAATAAGTACCATCACGATCTCTCGCACACAAGCTGATAAGAGTCGTGTTACATTGGTACGGAGCCTAGGCAGTAACTACGCTAGTCCAGACTTCATGGAGAAAATGATGCAGTCGGACATGTTATGATTTCACATTGGTTGTCCCACCTGAATGTTCAGATAGGAAAAAATAACGATTCCTGAAGAATAAAAGAGCTTATAAAAAAAGGTTTATGAAGTTCTAAACGATGACCTAATGTAAATTTAATGCTATGTGCTATTAATGCGTTTTCCAAATACGCGGATTGACGGAGCAGGAACGATGGTATTCGGCAGCCTTGCAAACGCTGCGTCCATAGTAATTAGGGATGGTGTGGAATAGAGTCCTCCACGAGAGAATTTCCACGGTTCGCAATTTTTTTACTCAGGCCGGTCGACTCTCACCCGATCACATACCCGATTGCGAACTAAACTTCACCATCGATCTGACGAAAACTAGATATATATGACTAAGTAAATGCTTTTTCTATACTTTAATGGATGATTAGTAACGCTGTCACCTGATGGCAAGGAGTTGAAGGTGAATTGGAATTACTTGAAATTACACTGCAAATGTAGCCACGTCCAATCATAGGCACAAGTAATTCTGTCATTTTCATTGCGTGCTTGCAAGAGGGAAGGAAACAGGGCAACATTCAGTCTTAGCAGTGTCAGCTTAATGTAATCTCACGGCTAGGTGCCGGTCTGCATTTCCTTTCGCCCACTCATTCTCACGACCACATTCATAAGTAATTCCAGTGCAGATGCAGACGGGCCAAGGATGGTCACATATCAAAACCCTCATTTAGAAAAAAAAAATTGATCCGACCTTAGAAAGGGTCTAAGGAATTTTTTTCCTCAACTGCCTATTGCTAGAGCCGGTCTGAGACCCGCCTACGCCTCTATTGTCAACTGCGGAAGAAAAGCACCTCCCCCAGAAGGCCGGTGGTAACTTATATGTGCTCAATGGGTGGCAATGTTTCGTGAGGGACGTGTGGACGGGAGGATTAAGGGAAGATAGGAGGAAGAAATCTAACGTTAGATAATCGCCAGGTTTTAATGTTTAGAGATCCAAAGTGCCTAAGACGCCACTTTTAAAGTTAACAGTCTATATTCACCATAGGGCCTTACGCTTAGCCTGCTCGTAAATCGTATTTCCGGTTACTTAGCACGTTGGCTGCCATGTGTATCGCTGGCGTTATATCTGACCAAACAGCCATTTACAGTGCTTTTTGCTCAAGTCAGGCACTTTTTCACTTGACTTCGAAACTTGCAAGAGAAAGGTACCATGCACGAGTGTCCGAGCCAAGTGAAAAACACTCCACTACTGGTTTTGGGTCGACCCCCAAATGAGTGATTCGGATTCCTTAGTCTCCGATATTTTGAGTGTGTGCAGTGGTATTAATGTCATAAGCTTAAGTTGAAAGTCATATGAGTTAGGGGAAGGTTTAGTATGGAAAGTGGTAAAATATTGGTACGTATTGATACTACATAGAAGTATGTGACAGCCAATATGTTGGAGGTTCTAGGTTCTGTCAGTATGGGCATTTCTGCCCATACTGACAGCCTAAGTTGGGGTCATGCCCTCGCCCTAATAGGCTGGTTACGGGTGACTTCACGGGGACCGCAGCGAGCACGTGCTGTTTCCAAACACTCCTGAGTATGGCTGTGTTCTCCATGTGTTGCCTTTATTTTCTCTCTGGCCCCACAGACCCTGTGCCTTGTTCAGCAATTGCAAACTTTTTTGCTGATGATATTTCGATTCTTAAGAGATGTGAACTCGCATATGAATCAAAAGACATTCACAAATTCCTTTATGTAGGAACACTGAGAACTACACACGGCGACGTTTTTTGCTAGTAAGAGTTTTGCTGTTACCTATTCAGTCGAGGTGAGGGAAAATCTCACAACGTTGGCCCTAAGAGCATGGAAATTTACTTAAGCCTTAATCCTAGGCCTATTCATAATAGGCCTGGGCTATCCGTAGACAGAGTTCAATTTTGAAAAGCATGTCAGGCCTAGACCTAACGTTGGACTTCCCATACCTGATGGACGAATGATTTATTGTCCATGTTAGTGGGCTTTAAAGAAGCTTAACTGATAGCTCAATTGCTTTGTTTGCAGGAGAGGCATCAAACATATTAGGAAGGATGAACAGCAAGTACTTAGGAGTATCTTATACATAGACAATTTAATAATTTAATGCATTTCAGATATGGTAAAACAATATATAGAACTGTGCAAAGGAAACGGGGGAAAAAAAGAATACAGAGAAGTGGGAAGGGCCACATAACCCTATGCAGGAGAAATGTTGTGTATAAATGCGTGGGGAAAGATAAAAAATCTGTGGGGTGTGTCCAGCAGAGGGGAGCGAAAAAAACATGAGTAGAGCATAATAAAAAGTGATAGGATTTGGTGGTGAAATAGCTATAGTAGGTATTGTGCTAGTAGGCATTCTTTGAGGTCAGTTTTAAATCTAGGTAGAGTGGGGGAGCACCTTAATTGATTAAGAAGATGGGAATTCCAATGCTAGATGCCCCTTTACTTGAGGTTTTTCTGGGATGTTTTTGTGAAGGCTTGTGGGAGGCATGACTTCATGGATTTGAGGGAGTAGAGATAGTGTGTGGTATTTCCTGGTTGGGAGAAGGAGATATGGGGAGAGGTAACTTGGAGCAGTTTTGGTAGAGATTTTGTCTATACAGTAAGCTTTTTGTTCAGGATTAGTGTTTCAGGGGCTCATTCAGCAAGTCGGTCAAGGTTTTGACAGATTAGGAGAGATTTTATCTAGGTTTGCAGATGAGAAATATAGGGTTATATCATCTGCATAGAGGCCAATTGTGCAGTTTGTGATAGTTTGAGGAAGGTCATTAATGTATGAGATAAATTAGAGGAGACCAAGAACAGAACCTTATGGGACACCAATGAGGAAGGTAGAGTGGATTTCTGAAGATCTGTTTCCCAATTTGATGAATTGAAACCAGTCCCAGAGATAGCTTTTAAAATGTGCCACTACTGAGGGAGATATGTTATAATGTGGTAATTTAGCTAGGAGCCTGTCATGGGGGACTAAGTCAAATGCTTTTGAGAGGTCAAGGAAGACTGCATCAGTTAGGTTTCCATTGACCATGTTTCTTAACACATCATCACAGAATTTGATGTGGGCTGCTTGGCAACTATGGTTTGTGGTCTGAAGCCATATTGGTTGGGATGCAGGAGGCTTAAATCAGAGAGTAAGGAATAGGTGGAGCTATCAATGTGATGCTCAAGTATTTTAGAAATGACTGGAGAGATTGAGGTAGGCCTGTAGTTGGTGGGATCTTGCATGTTGTCTTTCTTATGGAGTGGAATTATCCTAGCAATTTTGAACTGTTGTACGACAGTGGAATGCCGAATGAATATATGTAGAAGTTGGGTATAGAGTTGTTATAAAGAATGCGAGTTACTGCAGAGGTTGAGCATCTGAAGTGAGACTGGGAGGATGTGGATTAACTCCTGCACTTTCAAAGATCTTCTGCAGCAAGACTAGAGCTAGGCCTAGGAAAGGCCTGATTCCGTTTCTTATTTCGCCTGGAATTGCGTGGGAATTAACTGAACCTGAAGCTGATGTACAATGGTGCTTACAACCAGATAAACTTACAAGAACTGTGCAATTTCGTCTAATGGAAAAAGTCATTGCAAATATCTGCCAACCCACTTTGAAACAGACTGGATGTTTGGAAACACTGCCTTGCTCTGACGTCACTGAATACGTCATCCCGTAACCGGCCTATTCTCCCTTCAATATGGATCTACTCTTCCTAAGATACTTCCATACCTACATGCCCAAGCATCTTAAACTTGATGCCTGTTCCACTGAGAGTCACCTGGTATAGGCAATTGTTGACCTAGAGAATGAGGAGAGTTAACTGATGATGTGATTACTCCCTTCATGTAGCCTAGATATCTGGAATTTCATAATTACTGATTCTCATCTGGCCTTACCTTGCATAATTTAATGTTTGGCCAAATGCTGGATGAGCTTGTTAGGTCTAGGCACAGGGTCTGATTTCATAGGGTTTCTCTTTAAACTTATGCTTAGCCCAAGGTTAGGTTTGGACCTACTAGGCCGCTCTCTGCAACAATGATGTGTGGACAGTTAAAAGGGAAAACTACGTTTGCAGATGGTTAACCAACTGCACTTGGCCAACTTTCAGCCAAACATGTCTCAAGAATCACTGGAAGTACCCTAGCCCGTACTTTCTGTCTGAAGAATCTATACATGTACGAGGACTTCACCCTCTGGAAACACACCTACTTTTCTGTATAGTGTTGCCTAAGTATGGGAGTAGAATTTAGTGTGTTTATTTCTTGCCAGTTAAAGCTGGTAACTTTAAAGCAGCATGGCTGACAAGCTAGTTGAGGTTAATGATTTCTTACAACCCCCAATAAATAAATAAATAAGATGAAATGAATAAACAATCCACCCACATCACATATGCACCACCAATGATGTCATTAAAGTCACTATTCCATGATCCAACCAACCCCTTGGATCTTTAGGGTGCTCTCCTACTATGGTGGTAGCCATACTGACCAGCGGAACTGGCAATAGCCCCACACTACTCTCCCTACCCACCATGATCTTGGATGGCAAGGGTCATACTGACCATTCCTAATAGCCCTTTGGCATTTCTAAAAACTTGAAGTTACCTAACGGTGGTGCCTCCCCATGTTCTCCTGCAAAACCTCATGCTGATTGTTCCTAATATCCCATCTGTGTGACTAGGTTTTAATTAGGTGGGTGTACACATGGTGTACATAATGTTCACAAGATGCATAGTAGCCCTTATGGGTATTTATGTTCATAGGCAGTCCACCCTTGTTTTCAACGTGAAAAGAAGTAGAACAGCTTTGTACCATAACTCTGTTCCACCCTGTACCCAAGCTATGGAATGATCCCCCCTCTACTATCTGTGATGTCACTGTATTACATTTCCCCTCGTGCGTCAGACTTAATATTTCAGTGGATTGTCCTGGTTAGTTTAATTCTGTGAATACCTAACTGTATGTCTGACTAATAGTTTCCTCTTCCCGTTATTGACATTGTTTGGACTCGTATCTGCTTTTATATAATTTCTCTATTTTATCCTTGTATTTTCTTCTTGCTGGTATTTACCTCTTATTTCTCTGACTGGGCTTTGTCCCATATATATGCCATTAATTGGGAAATAAACTAAGAAACAAGCTAAAATGTTTTTGGTGATAGAATTTATAACAAATTTATTTCTTAATGCTATGAACCCTGGCAATTTTAATTGAATATGGCATAGGATGTCATTTGACAGCTAAAGGGTGCAAAGTGTTAAGATGTCTATCTCAGATGATAGGATCTTATTAGAATTGTCTTGAAAGTTTTTATTGATTTTTTTCTGTGCTTCCAGGAAATATTTTGGAGTGGCATTGCCAAAATAATTAAAAGTGGTTTTCATGCTGGGATTTCAATCTCATGCAACATGAGCCTCCCTCCTTGTGGACTTGGTGCCAGTGTTTGAAGTCAATCAATCAGTCTGCATCCAGCTGTTGGTGAAGTGTGCAACCATGTATTTGTACAATCTTACACTTCAGAGAGCCTCTGGGATAGTCTGTGCTGTACATGGCAACTTCTCTGGTTCCAAGCACCAAGAGATTTTGGTGGCCAGAGGAAAAATCCTAGAACTTTTACGCCCAGATCATATGACTGGGAAGGTCCACACACTTCTGGCCACTGAAGTATTTGGGATCATTAGATCTATCAAGGCATTTAGACTGACTGGTGGAAACAAAGGTAAGTCTTTCAATTTTCTGAAATTTGCTTGCCAGTTTCCATACCAAGACAACACAGGATACTGAATTTCTTGCAGATTATATTGTGGTGGGATCTGATTCTGGTCGCATTGTGATTTTGGAGTACAACCCGAGTAAGAATGTTTTCGAAAAGGTTCATCAGGAAACATTTGGCAAAAGTGGATGTCGCCGTATTGTTCCTGGACAATATCTTGCTATTGATCCAAAAGGCAGAGCTGTGATGACTGGTGAGGGTCAGATTTCAATGGTATTGCCTTCTATTTTCATTGAGTGATAACTACATTTTTACATGATGACACAAAATGAGGCTAAGTCGCTGACTTTAAGGTGATTGAATACTTCACACTTTTGTCTGATTCGTGCCATTTTTAGCTATAGATATTATTCTCAGTTGCTTTTGACAGCATTGACCATCTTGAAAACTTTCTTCCCAGGTGCCATAGAAAAGCAAAAGTTGGTGTATATATTGAATCGAGATTCTCAGGCCAGGCTTACGATATCTTCTCCACTGGAAGCGCATAAGAGCAATACCCTGGTCTATGACATGGTTGGAGTTGATGTAGGATTTGAAAACCCTTTGTTTGCCTGTTTGGAAATTGATTATGAGGTAAGATATTGTCTGAATTTCTATCTTGGAAAGTGACTGTTGGTTATGACTTTTGAAATTATTCTTTGTAGGAAGCAGATGCTGATCCAACAGGCGAGGCTGCCCAAAAGGCACAGCAAACCCTCACATTCTATGAATTAGACCTGGGATTAAATCATGTTGTCCGCAAATACAGTGAACCTCTGGAGGAACATGCCAACTTCCTTATCACTGTTCCAGGAGGACATGAAGGAGGCACTGAAGGCCCCAGTGGTGTCCTTATCTGTTCAGAGAATTACATCACCTACAAGAACTTGGGTGATCAGCATGACATTCGTTGCCCCATACCTAGAAGGAGGGTATGTTTGTGGGTTCCACCTCTTCTAAGTTTATTTCACCTCATGCATAATTTGAATAAGAGACTCGCACTGATAAGATCATCATCAGATACATCTTTAGTTATCTTGCAGCTCTTCCTCTCTTTCAAGAGAATTGTTGAACCTTTTCCATCATAGGCATGACCCTGCTGTATGTTGAGGTGGTCGAACTAGGGCTTGCCTTTGAGAGATTCCAAAACTCTTTTGACATCATTTCCCATTGCCAGCGTGGTTTGGAGTAATATATATACCATTGACTTCCTGAAACAGACTTTTTATCTCTGCAGTTTTTTCTTCTGAATTTCTCCTTGCTTCTTGCCCCATTCTCTTTGGTCCAAGATTTCCTTAAATAAAGGATGTCCTTGACTGCATCAACCTGTAAATTTTTGGATTCGGTCTTATGCAGTGTGGTGCTTTGTTCCAGTGACCATTCATGTTCATGCTGAGGAAGGGAATGGACTCTGGGTGTGTTATTGTGAAAGATATTGAAGCAGGAAGAGTCACTGTCTATGCTGAGGTTGAGTACATCTTTCAACCATTGTGACCCCAGATCCATTTTCTGCTTCTCCTTTTCCTCTTCAGGTTTGCTCAACAAGCTTTTATTCCTTAGCTGACATCCACTGAGCTGGTTTCCAACTTGTCCTCCTCTTCTCCTCTTCTTCCTCCTCTTGTTGACATGTCAGTAGTGGTATTTCTTCAGTGAACCTCATGCCATCCTGCATTGTTGATGCTTGAGGGTCTAATTCTGGAAGAACATAGTTGTCATCTGGGTGATCATAATGTTCTTTGCAACTCATTTCTGTTATGTCTGTGGAATAGTCCTTCACTTCATCTAATAAGTCTGTCATGCTTGTAGTGTGCTCTTGGGCAGAGAGGGTTATGCTGGAAGTGTTGAATACTGTTCTGTAGGATTCATTCTCTTGAGAAATGAGAGGAATTTTGAAGAAATGTTGTAAATTGTTCAAGTGAGGAAAATGCTTACAGCCACACCAAACCCATACCTCTAATAGCTCACTCTTTGCAGCTGGGTAATCAAATGTATCTGCCTGGCTCCTTGTTGAAGTATATATTTCATCTGGTATATTCAATTCATCAGAGCAACTGTTGCGAGGAGGCAGATTTATTTGTTGCATTAGGCTTTCAATCACTTGTGTCCCCTTCTCTGCACATTCTTTGACATTTTGGATGCAGAATTCCAGATCACACACTTGGTGCTTAACAAGCTGAAATATGCTCCCGAGTCTCTCAAGGTCTTTGGCTTGAAGGATGACATCCATGCCTCAAATTGCTTTCAACTGTCAAGGCTTTTAACAAGTTATGGCAAGGGGTGAATTTTGTTCCATAGCAACCAGTCAAACTTGGTGCAATTATTTGAACTTGGGTTGTAACCTTTTTCATTAGGCAGTCAACTAGATGGGTTTTTTTTTCACATGCTAAGTTGATCAACCTGAATACAATTTTTTTGTTCTGAATTGTAGTAAGGGCTTCTACAAATAAGGTAGACCTGACTACTTGTGTTTCGAAAAGGGAATTGTCAAAAGTGGATTTCAGTGTACTAAAATGAAAAACTTATTGTTTAGTAGATGTATGAATTCAGTCCTTAGTGAAATTGAGTGAACCTTGCAGTGAATGTCAAGACTGGTGTAATAGCAAAAATTCTTGTTTTTCAGAATGACCTGGATGATCCTGAGCGAGGGATGATTTTTGTATGCTCAGCCACACACAAGACAAAGCACATGTTTTTTTTTCTGGCCCAGACTGAACAGGGTGACATATTCAAGATCACCCTGGAAACTGATGAAGACATGGTCACAGAAATACGCCTCAAGTATTTTGATACTGTCCCAGTTGCAACATCAATGTGTGTCTTGAAGACAGGGTTTCTTTTTGTTGCCTCGGAATTTGGAAACCAGTGAGTTGTTTGCATCTTGCTATATAAAATGATTAATAAAAAAAAGTAGGGCTGTACCATTCCTTAGATTGGACATTGGACATGTGCTGATTCAGGTGTTTTTCATGAAATTGCAAAACCGATCTTTAGGCCAGCAGATTTTCTGATTTTTATGTGCATTGAACACACGTTGCATCTCTTCTCCCTATTTTGATTTCCCAGCATTTTGTATCAGACCAGAGAACTTTTACAAGGAGACAGTGGTAGACATGATCTGCATTTATTCTGGAGAACAGAACTCAAAACCGAAAAGCACATAGCCATAAGCTAGGCATGGTCAGAAGCACAACTTCTTCCTACTAAATGACAGTGGACATAGGAGCACGTGCAAGAAGTGGCTACGTTTCCATTGAATCATCTAAGAAGTCCTTTCTGTTGAATTTTCCTAAAACAAATGCTGAAACCTTGAATGGGCCTGCTTCCATCAAACAAGCAGCAGCCTAATATTAACATTAGACTTACGTCTCTAGATGCAACCTTCACATTTGCAGCATGATGGGCTGATGCCAATGGTTTTGCCTTTCTTAGCCTAGGTCTTTTTGTCCTTGTCTTTTTCCAATTGTAGTCATGTGGAATGCTAAAGCAGTACTGTTACATAGATTCAAGCAAATGACCCAAACCAGAAGTGGTAAAAATCTCTTTCTTATTATATAACACCTTTTGTGAAAATAGAATCTGATATTAATGGCTAATATTCCTGTGGAATAGAGTACTGTTTGTGATGTTTGGTGGTTTTGGAAGAACTCTGAAATTATTTAGTTTAAAAAATAGGGTAAAGGTTTTTCATTTTATGCTCAATGTAGAACTAATGCACCTAATTCAAGTCAACTCTTTCATGGGCAGTGGAAAGAAATCTTCCCAAAACGTTTGATCCCAGTGCCATGGGAGGGCTTTCTCCCACTCTTTTGCACTCATATTGTCATCTGGTGACCATAATAGATCAGCAATGTTTCCCACCATAAATATGAAAATTTGTTGTTTGGGGTAAAAAACCAGAATGTCTCAAAATAAAAGCCTCCAAAAGTAGGAAAAGAAAATGTACTGAAATTTTTCATTTACACATGTGATATTTTCCCACAAAAGGGTTAGTCATCTTGATTACACTAACTGGCAAAAAGAACTATGCCATAGACATGCATAAAGATCAGTATCAGTACCAGTCATCTTTCAAGAACAGATATCAAGAATCAGCATATCAGCCAAATTTTGTATCGGTACAGCCCTAAAAAACACTGCTCATCACCTTGTGGGTAAGGAAGCATTTAACATGGCCTGAATGATGACAACTCCGTCCTTATGCAGACACTAATGACGATGAAGTCCTGCAATTCTGACATGATGTAGTTACATGTTGTAGTGGGACCATGGAAGATTTATATGATCCTTTATCAATGGTCTTGAACTTTTGCATTTTTTTGACAGCTACCTATACCAAATCGCTCATCTGGGTGATGATGATGATGAACCTGAATTTTCATCGGCAATGCCTCTGGAAGAAGGTGACACATTCTTCTATGCTCCACGAGGACTTCGGAATCTTGTTCTTGTTGATGAACTGGAATCCCTCTCCCCTATCCTCTCCTGTCAAATTGCTGATCTTGGTGAGCAAGAGAAGTGCACCTCCTCTGTGATTCTGAATGTATCCTAATGCGTCCCTCCTGGTCATAGAGGTAGATAGAGGTAGAGTTACCTTTCCTCAGGGGTATTCTCTAAAAATGTCATCAGTATTGGTACTTTGTTCAGGTACTTGTAAGCTGCAAGATTTCATCCAAGATTTCCAGAATGATAGAGATCTTAACTGAGGGAAATTTTTGCTTAATAAATATCAATAGATATCCATCTTCAGCTATTTTTGTCCACTGCTGGGTAAACTTTTCCCAATGCACAGGGTGCCTGGAAAAAAAGTACACATTATATAATGAGTTTCTCAGCAACCATAATACCAAATTGCCTATAAATTTGAACAAATAGAGTTCAAATAGTCAGGAAACATGCCTCAAAATATTAGATGGATCAGTTTGACCTGAACCCCTATTCATATCATTTAATGAAATGATCTCAAAATTAAACCAAACAGTTTATTTTATCACCTCAGTTAAAAAAAGCAACCACCATTGCAAATAAGGAACAATCAGCGCATTAGTTTATCTTTGGAGACGTTGAGCAAAGTCTGGGAGCGTGGACAAAGGTGATGTTACCAAGTGCAAACAGCCCTCTGAATGTGACAATCCTTGAAGATAAAAGGAAATTAATGCATGAAGTATGAAACCATACAGGTAGTCATAGTCCTTGAAGTGTTAATGTGAGTTAACTGTATTTCTCTTTCAGCCAATGAAGATACTCCTCAGCTGTACGTTGCTTGTGGAAGAGGTCCCCGATCTTCACTTCGGGTGTTGCGCCATGGCTTAGAAGTCTCAGAAATGGCTGTTTCTGAACTTCCTGGCAATCCCAATGCAGTGTGGACAGTGAAGAAGAAAGCTGATGGTATGCAAAATTACAATTAACATGGATGATTATCATTCAACTCCTAAAGTTAATCTCTAACATCTGATTCATGCCTTGTTTGGTTCCACAGATCAATATGATGCCTATATCATTGTGTCATTTGTGAATGCTACCTTGGTACTGTCAATCGGAGAGACTGTTGAGGAGGTGACTGATTCTGGGTTCCTAGGTACCACTCCTACCCTGGCTTGTGCCCAACTTGGCGATGATGCTCTTGTTCAAGTTTGTTCAACATGCTTTCTTCAGTCCTTTGTTCTTTTTAAATGGGAAAACATGATGTTGCGAACATGTTAGACTTCAGATCACAAATGATTGAAAACTTCTCACTGACCCTTTTAATCTCATTCGAGTTCTTTCTTTCAAAAAGTTTTCTTGTAGGATTTTTGCATAATTTTTTTGGTTTCAGATCTATCCAGAGGGAATTCGTCATATACGTGCAGACAAAAGGGTCAATGAATGGAAGGCTCCAGGGAGGAAAACAATCCAAAAATGTGCAGTTAATCAGAGGCAGGTTGTCATTGCCCTGACTGGTGGAGAACTGGTTTATTTTGAAATGGACCCAGTGAGTGTTACAATGCTCTGTACCTGGTAGGGAGTACCATGTTCTCAAAACAGGGTTGGTACCAATTGAATCAAATTTGTGGCTTTTAGACAGGGCAGCTGAATGAATATACAGAGCGAAAGGAACTGTCAGCTGGTGTGGTTTGCATGGCACTTGGGACTGTACCAAGTGGTGAGCAGCGAAGCAGGTTCTTAGCTGTTGGCCTCGAGGACAACACTGTGCGCATCATCTCTCTTGACCCCTCAGTAAGTATCTTTTGCAGCTGTTTATTATTATTATTATTATTATAAGCCTGTATCTGTTGTGATTGAGAATCACATCTCTTAAGGGTGTTTTTGAACCAAGAATGCTTCAAATAGAGGATGAAGGTTGGATCTGTCCTAGGTTTTTGCAGCTAAGCATTGCTTTTGGAGCAGCAGCATAGGAGTCCTTTGGCCCAAAGCTGTTGATACATTTTCCATTTATCTTATGCACTTAACATCTGAGGGGCTCAGGTTGACTCCATGTAATTTTCTACATGAAACTTAGAAGTGGTATTGGATATGGAATTCCTGCTGCTTTAATGAATAATATTCATTGTCATTTATGTTGCTGTGGAAACAACTTGAGTCCACTGGTGAAAAAAAAAAAAACAGGATAGAACACTTTGCTCCCTAGTGACATCAGTAATCTGATGGGTATTAAAAAGTGATGCATTCCCATATGCTTTTGTTTTTTGTTGCTTTTGCTTAACATCTGCCTAGCATCAGGCCATGAGGAAGAGGAGTCTATGGCAGTGGTACTAAACTGCAGGCCACATTTGGCCCATGAAGGCCTTGGCTTGTGATGACAAGCAGTACTTATCAGATGGGAGGAATTTATCAGTACCAGTAATCCTTTTTCAGTGCTGCCTAGAATAGGTTGGTCCTGTATGGATATATCCCCCCATCACAAAAAGTTAGTGAATCACTGATTGAGAAGAGAAAGCTCACCTGTTTTTTTTTTTTCTTCCAAAACTATGAATATGCATTTTTTCTCCATGGCCTGATCTCAATGCTCTGGAGGCAGAGAACGATTTCATGAAGATCAGAAGCTCCTTTAATATCATGCTTTCAGTTCTATCAAGTCAGTCAGTCACAGGACACAAGTGCCTGTTGTGATAAGCATTTCTTGTAAGGGTGTCATATGACTGCAGCACATGTGGGAAGTAGTGCAAAGGTTCCTTTTGGACATTTTGGACAAAATGTCCAAAAGTCCATTTTCATCATTTTGGACAAAATGATGAAAATGGTTATCCAGCTCTGCTGCTGATGATTTGATGATTTCTTTTGGACCACACAGCTGTTTTTGCTGGGAAAATAGGCTTGACTGTGAGTAGAACCTCAAATTTTCTTTTGAAAAAGTTCCAGACTTAAAAGGAAAAACAGGGTGGACAAAAAAAAAGAACAGTTTTCATTGATACTTTAATCGTAACTCATTGCATACATTTTAATGTGGTTTGTGGCATTTGATAGAGGAATGAATGAGCTTTTAAAATGATGTGCTTACATTTCTAATATCTTCAACAGTTTTGGAAATTGATGAGCTCATTAATTTCCAAACAAACTAACTAAAACTGCATTGCAGACCACATCACCGTGGCTCAGTGGATAAGGCCAGGGTGCACGCGGGAGGTCCAGGTTTGAATCTGACCGGCAGCAGGCAGTATTCTCCTGGGTCGACAGTTCACCTGGCTGCTTTCAGGTACTACCTGCTCTCCCTTGGGCTGAAGCATAGGCCACTCTGTGCTCCATGGTGCAAGAGGTAGGGGCTTGGTGCACCTCAATAGCACCTGCCACATCGGCCCTGGCGGCCCGATGTGCTGCAATGGAGGGCCTATGGCTGGAGCGGCATCGAAGTTGCCACCACCTTCCCTGGGCCCATGAAAATGGGATACATCATGACTGGTAGCGTGGGAAGGTGGGGCAATGCCGTCAGGGATGTCCGATATAGAATTCCCTTTCCTCTACTCAGTGTCACCGCTTGTGGCATTTGTCCTTGTCTGTGTATGTCCATCCCAGTCCAAGTTTTTTTTTTATAAAAAAAAAATAAAATAAAATAAAACTGCATTACAGTGCACTCTGATGCAGACAGCATTTTGGCCCACCCTCTATATCCAGTGCTGTAGATTCCATTTCAACAGTTTCTCTGCCTGATATGCTATGGCTATGATATCGTTTACCTGTTGTGATCTGGTTCTACATTCATGAAAATGATGAAAATGGTTATCCAGCTCTGCTGCTGATGATTTGATGATTTCTTCTATCTGACATCTTTTAATGAAGTAAATGGTATATCTTGTGTACCATTGTAAGTCAGGGTAGAGATATATGGTGTACTTTTTCCAAAAGGACTGCCTGTCACCATTGAGCATGCAAGCCTTACCCGACAAGGCTGAATCTCTAGCTGTTGTGGAGATGGGCGGGAGCACAAGTGACGGTGGTCGAAAGGAGGGTGAGAGCTCCACATCTGCTCCATCTGGCATTCTTTACCTGAATATTGGGCTTCAGAATGGGGTGCTCCTCCGAACTGTGCTTGATCAGGTACTTTTCCTCTTTTTATATTTGTTTTGTGATAGAGGGTATTGGTGCCAGGAAATAATTTTTTTGGGTATCAGTACTGCTGTTATGGAATAAATTACTCTGGAAAGAGGGGAATGTATTATATTCTTTCTTTATTGGCTCTGGGAGTAAGTTTTCCTAATGTATGCAATAAATTTTTTTACTAATGTTTACAATAATGTTTAATTTTATTGATAATGTTTAATTATTATTAATCCAATTTAATTTCAATATTATTCACAATAATTTTTTACTAATGTATGGAATCTACACAATGCCTTGATAATTATGATCTATGATGAATGTATTGCACACATCCAGAATACAAGAGGATGGAATGAGAAACAATCTGAGGCCTTGATTACTTGTCCATCTGCCATTAATCCATTAATTGTTTTTTTTCTGGTTTGAATGTTTTTTGGAAGTTTTTCCATTTGTGTAGGTGACAGGGGACTTATCTGATACTCGAACAAGGTACCTTGGCTCCAAGCCTGTGAAGCTTTTCAGAGTGAATATGCAGGGCAGTGAGTCAGTGAGTTGGAAGATTTGACATCATCCAAAATGAAATATGCCACAGTCTAGAATTCCAATTTAAGGGATTTTTTTTCCTAGGTCCTGGCTATGTCAAGTCGATCATGGCTCAGCTATTACTATCAGAATCGATTCCACCTCACCCCTCTCTCATATGAGATTCTAGAATTTGCATCTGGATTCTCATCGAATCAGTGTCCGGAAGGAATAGTTGCAATATCAACTAATACCCTGCGAATCTTGGCCTTGGAGAAACTGGGAGCTGTATTCAACCAGGTGAGTTTTGATCTGATGTCCTGGAGATGCATATTGCATAGGTAAGTTAGCATATTGCAACATTGATCTCTTCTCCCTGTAGGTTAGTCATCCATTGGAGTATACACCAAGAAAATTTGTGATTCATCCTGAGTCAGGAAGTCTCATAATCATTGAGACTGATCATAATGCATACACAGAGGAAACCAAGCTACAGCGCAAGTACCAGATGGCAGAGGTCAGTTGATGCCCCATTCATTTGGGTTTTGGAGAGTTTTTCCATATTTTCTTCTCATGAAACCCAGAATGAGAGCAGATATGGATCTGCAGAGCAAATTCTTAATATTGAACTTCAAGAATTATTTATTTTCATCATGGAGCAATACTTGGCTATAAATTCTCTACCGTCATTTGGTAGGTCTGTGGTGAATAGTGACTTCTAAAGCACAAATGGTGAAACTTCATATAGGCAAGATTTTAATGGGCCTTTAAACCCCTCAGCTGCTGAGTTTTTTTAGGTTTTTTTTTTAGAGGCAGTACCCCTTATGTTAGAATATTTCAGGCTTTTTTGTCTGTTTTAAGAAAGTTTGTTCTAATTTGAAAAATGCACATTTCCCTTAGTAGTGAAGGTAATGAATTGATGTCAGATGAACACCTGGTTGACTAGATTTCCTTACACTGCATTATGTAATAAGAATGTCTTTGAAGTGGCAGACATGTATATGTATGTCCATGGCAGTGAAAGGGTTAAGCTATAGGTGAGATGAAAGGGCCTTTAAGCTAAAGAGCTCTCTTTTTCCAAAGTATTCCTTGAATTGTTAAAGGACTGTTAACTTAAGGAGGTTTCAGCTTCAGGCTTAAGTATCTACACATGGGGAAAAGGGAAAAGCTCAATACTTCTCAAATATTGATAGATAAGCTAGTCCAACCCATGCTTTAAAAATAGTCAACTGCATCTGCAGGTGAGACCAGCATGTTTGCCTCTTTAAAAATTTTTTTTTTACCTGTGTTCATTTTTCTGTTTGTCTTTTTAGCCATGACTTCATGCCGTGCATGTATTTTTCATGCCATTCTGTGGATATAATTCTCTCATAACTCCTGGTTGTGTTTTTTTTATGATGAAAACCAACTCTCCGACCTCTGAATTGAATAAATGTGGACCTTCCCACATACTGAAGATCTGCTTTGGAGAATTTATGGAGATTGTCTGACTATGAAAACTATCAAGGCTCATATATCTTGCATGTATGTACATTCATGAAAGGAAATGCGAGAAGCAGCTGGGGAAGAAGAGCAAGAACTGGCCAATGAGATGGCTGAATCCTTCCTCAGTGAGCAACTGCCTGAGGCCACATTCGGGGCACCCAAGGCTGGACCAGGAATGTGGGCCTCCCTTCTTCGCCTTATGGACCCCATCCAAGGCAAGAGTCAGGTCATCCGCCTTGAGCAAAATGAGGCTGCTTTGAGGTCAGCTCAAGTTCCTAACCTCAACTATCTTCTCTAACTAATACACCATTGAAGAATGTGACTTCCATAAAGCTAGCAACAGTGCCTTAATACTAGATTACTTTCATTTTTATTCAATGATTTTTTTCCCTAAGGGTTTCATGGTAACCACTTTTCTAGGCATAATATTAATCTTGTACAGGAAGAAATGATGAGTGTTTACTTGTCCGTGTTTCAGCTGACCAATGGAACATGATTATACCTTTCATTGCTGAATGCATAATTTTAGGATTTTTAAACTCCTTTTCAATCTGGTTTGATGTATCCAGTAAAGAGATGCTTGCTGTATTTATTTATTAGCCTGGGTCTGGTGAAGTTTAGTTCTCACCCAGATCACCAGTACATTCTTGTCGGAGTGACAAAGGACTACCAGCTGAATCCTAGGCAGGTTGGTGGAGGATTCATCTATACCTACAGGTGTGTCTCTAGCATTGCTGCTTTCAAGAGCAGTTCTATTCCCTACCTGATTGCTTAGTGTAACTTTCTTACTGAAGGGCTTGTGCCTATGATTCATTTGTATTGGTCTGAAAAAATTTCATCTTGTGAAAGAGGTCTGAATTCAGAGAGTTGAAGCTTAAAAAAATATTTATTTTGATTGAAAAATAAAATTTTCACTGCATGTTCATAAGATTTCCCAATAGAACTAACAGTAAGTTTTTGTTTCAATGAGGAGGTTATAGAATTTTTGAGTCAAGTGGATATTTACACTCCTACTCATTTCTTGTGATGAAAACTGTTTTTACCAGCTCTGCTTCTGACTGGCTGTGATCTTGACTCATTGAAAAAATCTGATGACTGCTTTTCCTGCTATAATTTGTACTTCGTAGCTTCACTCCTGATTTTGCAAAATGGGAAAATTTTTTTGTAAACTAGATTGGTAAAGGAGGGACAGGAGTTGGAATTTGTGCACAAGACACCAGTGGAGGATATTCCAGGAGCCATTTGTGCCCATGCTGGGATGGCCATTGTGAGCGTGGGCAATCTTCTCCGAGTCTATTCCCTAGGCAAGAAGAAACTGCTGCGGAAATGCGAGAACAAAGTAGTGTAGCTTCCTCCATTTGGCATTAATGTTTCTGTTACCCTACAGTGTTTCTCCATATATATTGACTGGAATAATTTTCTCTATTGCAGCACATTCCCAACTTCATTGTTTCGATCCAAGCCCTGGGAAAGCGTATTTATGCATGTGACATCCAAGAGAGTGTGTTCTGGGTCCGCTATAAGCGGTCTGAAAGCCAGCTTGTGATATTTGCAGATGATGCCACACCTCGCTGGGTCAACACATCTTGTCTACTTGATTATGACACAATTGCTTTAGGCGATAAGTTTGGTAACATCTCAGTGGTGAGGAGGCTTAACATAGAATGTTTTCATTGCACTGGCTGTTTTGGCACTTTTATTGAGAATGTTGGTTTGTTCTGTTTTTTGTAGATTCGACTTCCACCAAATGTCAATGATGAAGTTGATGAAGACCCAACAGGGAACAAGGCTCTCTGGGATCGGGGCTACCTCAATGGAGCATCTCAGAAAGCTGAGGCTATCTTCAACTTTCATGTTGGGGAGAATATACTCTCACTTCAAGTTTGAAATTTGGATTCTCCTTATTATGTAGTTGTTTTATTCTTTCCATTTGTCAGTCATTGAAATGGTACATTTTTATTTGCAGAGGGCAACTTTGATTCCGGGTGGGAGTGAGTCTCTGGTTTATACAACATTGAGTGGTTCCATTGGGGCATTGGTTCCATTCACATCACATGAGGATCATGACTTCTTCCAGCACTTGGAGATGCACCTGAGAGCAGAGCACCCACCATTATGTGGACGAGATCACCTTGCTTTCCGTTCCTTTTACTTCCCTGTCAAGGTTTGACTGCTTATTCATTGTTCAGAGAAAACTGTACTGCACCTTGAGAAATGCCCCTTGATTTCCCTTGCTTTTTCCATGCACATGCACATAATTTTGCAGAGGATAGTATGCAAAGACTTGTAAGGGTAATACATTAAGACTGGCAGTTTTGCTATATCATGTCACCACTGCTACCTCAAGAAAATCTCAAATTTTTTTTGTTCTCTTTCCATATAAAGGGTTCATTTGCACACTGCCTTACAAAAATCTTCCATTTCTATGCTCTCTACAAGAAGCAGGTCAACTCTGATGTCTTTTTAACACGTAGACCACCATGGCAATGCTGGCCTATTGATTTTCCCATTCAGTGAGGTGCACTGGTGCACCTTGTGGTGGTCAACCTGTTAAAGATCCATGTTTGCAAGGACAAGAATCCTTACAATTTGAGCAGATGCCAAGGCTTATTGCTGCTATCCCAGTATCCATAACATTTCAGTTTTGACCAACTTCATTATGAAGTGATGTCAATTTATGCTGGTCTGCATCTAGACTGAATATTAAAAAATTTGCATTATGGGTGGCACTTTGTAAGAATGTCTGTGTAAGAAACTCCCTTCTGCAAGAGAGGATTGCCCTTACATGCAGAGTGAGGTAAAAGTTAGTTACTTCAGTTAACCAGTTACATTTGTTATTAATTTTTATCAATATACAGGAAAGTGTTTTACCATTATTTACAGCATGAACTGTTCAACAAAATGTTTTGGGGATAAGTCTGTGCACCACTACATTGCCATTGTATTGTTTGGCAGTTTCTCAATATAACCATTGAAGATAGATGGACTGGAAGGCAGTTATATGGCCTGCTAGATCACCTGATGTACTTTCAATGGACTTTTCAGTTAGAGGAAGTCTCATGATGCTGATGAGTGGAAAGAGTATTCTTCAATGATTTTAAAAGCCCTGCATGATTCTTTGCGCAAGAAAGTATGCCTAATCATCTTGGAAAGTACTGATCAGAAGGGATAACAGGCTGAACATCTTTGTTAGATGTGAAAAAAACACCACTTTTTGAAATTCAGTGGTTTTTATTAAACAACTGCCAGCACGGTAATTTTATTTAGAGAAATTTATTTATTTTTTAATATTTAGAGAAATTTCTGCTGAAATCCTAGGACCACTTGGCATGGACAGATACTAAACTAATTTTATCTCACAATGGTCCTCTATGTGAGTGTATGACAGAGATAATGTCTTCCTTTATTTGAATTATTTTCTTCAGTTTTCTCTCCCCAAATCTGTTAATTAGGGCTGTACAAATGGACAAATTTTGTTGGTGGGCCAATGGCCCATTTTGATCTCATACCCATTGGCCAGTGCGAGTGCCAATTGGGGTCCGTAGACTGAGATGTAATTAAAATAGGCACATTTGAAAGTCATGTTATACTTATTAGTGGGCCTCCTTCAAGAATTTCCTATTTTTTATCCCTATTTTCCTTCACCAGGTCCTACTCTCAGGCTGAAATACAGGGTGGTCCATAAAATATTGGACACCAAGGCTATCAATGAAATTTTACAATGCCACTGGATGAAATCAAATTTTATTACAGGTGATACTCTAGGTAGAGTATTGCTCAACATAAAAAATGTTAATTTAGTTGGTGCAATTAACCTCCAGCAATTACAGCAAATTTTCTAAATGGCAACCATCTTGTTCAATGCACATCACAACTCACTTCTGAACAGTTCAATCACTGTTTATTTTGGCATAATCCAGGAGTTGCCAAGCTTCACTAACATGCTCAATGATGTGGTTTTCATCCCAAATGACCTCCGTATGCACATGTTGACACTTTTTTTCTTTACATAATAAACCACTGGTCATGAATGCAATTGTCCAAGTATCCCTGACTCGTGTGACCTGATATGTGGCCCCCAAATTCTCTTGACCTCAATTTGGTGGATTATTATTTAAGGAAGGAATGTGCAGACACGTGTATACTAAGGCCATTTGGGATGAAAACCGCCTTATTGAGCAGTTGGTAGTGAAGCCTGAACATCTTCTGGATTGAGCAGAAATAAACAGAGTGATCGATCTGTTCAGATGGTGAGTTGTGATGTGCATTGATTAAGATGGGGGCCACTTTGAAAATTTGCTGTGGTTGCTGGAGATTTGTTGCTCAAATTAAATTAACATTCTTTTGGCCATGAAGCAATACTCTATGTAGAGTTTCACCTGTAATAAAATTTACTTTCAACTATTGGTATTGTAAATTTCATTGATAGCCTTGGGGTCCAAGATTTCTTGGACCACCCTGTATAATCTGATTGATGTTATTGTCTGGGAGAGATTGAATGGAGTGACTTTCAGTGAGACAGGAGGGCTGTGCCTAGCTGTATTCACACACTTGTAAAATGTTTGTTTGCTCCTCTTTTGAGTGTTGGCATCAGCAGCTTGCAACCCTTTCTATGGCCAATAGTGCAACACTGGCAGCCAATACCAGTGGTTGCCAATACATTGGTACAGCCTTACTGTCAATACAATGCAGTATGCCAGCAGGTGGGTATTCAATAGGCCATATGACCTGCCAGCAACTCATATGCATGTGTTAGTGGAATGACCTTGGCATTATGGGAAAATATGGCAATTTGGTTTTGATAATTGTTAATTGTCCCCATGCAAAGGATGAAGAATAAAATAAGTAAATATGGAGGCATCTCTTGACCTAAGATCCATAAAAGTCTTGAAGATGGTGCTGCTTCTGGAAATTTCAGTTTGGAATAAGTAATGAAAGGCTGAATTGGCAAACTTTTTTCTAATTAAAGGATAGAAACATTCACTTCTGAAGAAGTGCTGTCTGCTTAATACTTAACTTTCTCTGAAAGTAAGAAATTGACTTGAACATCCCTGGAGAGGATATTCTAGCCTTGAAGCCTAAAGGCACTAAGGTTTTGCTTGGAGGTGCAAAAGTGAACTGTAAATTTGGGATAGCTTGCCAAGATTATCATGATACTGTATGCATTAAAGATATGCTAATCATTGTAAGGAACACCCATTACCCTATTAAATTTTAGTATGAATTTCATTTGGAAGGTTGAGTGACTTATGTGAACATGGGACATCAATCATCTCAAATAACCTCATAATTTGGTGGGATGATCTTTTTTTTTCATGGATAGAACGTGATTGATGGTGACCTGTGTGAGCAGTACAATTCCATTGACCCTGCAAAGCAGCGAAGCATAGCTGAAGATCTGGATCGTCAACCCAGTGAAGTGTCCAAGAAGTTGGAAGACATCAGAACTCGATATGCCTTTTGAGATTACTTTGATTTTTGCCTGTACAGCGCTTGTTATAAAGGTGTCTTGTCCCTTGGTCTCAAATCCATTGATGATCCTTAACTGTATGCACTCTCACAGTTCATGTGCAGTCCAATCTTGGTATGACAAAAAAAGATGAAATGGAAACCTCATGTACCAAAGTCCTCAGTGTTGCATGGTTGAATGTTAATTGACTTGTATTTTGAAATTTTTGAATGTAATGAGATAGGATGTAACATTATTTCTGATGTGAAGAATAATTCTATAGTCCCACGATGGAAAGGTCACTGGATATAATGAATTTCCCTGTCATGAGGAGAATGAAAAAAAATTTCCGATCATGAGGGAAGGAGAGTTCTAATCTTCATCCTACCTAGAATTCCTGAGTCCAGCCTGTCCTCTAAACTGCCTTAGCTGTGTGTGTACAAGGGCTCCTCTCTGCTGCCTACTTTCTTCAATTCATCCTATTACTTGATTTTGAAAGACATGCATGCATGTTGGAGGCCATTACACATTTCCCTACAGCTTTAAAAAAAAGAAATTGGTAGGGTATTCATTAAAAGGAGGAAAATTCAAATACTGAGCCCCTCTCAATTAGGAAATTTTTGAGGAATGAAAGTGGGGTAGGTCACAGGAAGTGAGTTAACTTTGAGCACTGGAGGGGCCAAGCAGTCTCGGGGTCTGAGCAATTGCACTGTCCCCTTACCTCTGTCAATCAATTTTTTTTTCTTTAAAGCTATTCTTTTTTTTTATACTGTCAGCATTCCACCATCTTCAGAGACTCTTGGGACCCCACAATAGGATGCCCTCAATCATTGATAAAACCATGTAAAACATGATCATAAAGCATATTAAGTGCTTTGAAATGGTTATATAACCCTCCCCTGTTATAATGAAAACCTGTTATAACTGAATAATTCCAGTGCCTTTATTGACTTTGTTATAACAAGGTTTGACTGTACATTGCTGTTGGTTTTGGATGCATGAATCCCTCAGCAATGGTGACATTCCAACCTGAGACATTCCTCTTCTCAAGGTTGCTGCAGTTTCTTGCTACAGTGCTGTACCTAGATGTGCATTATTACTATAGAACAATATGTGTTGTCAAAAGATGAGGCTAATGTGTGAATCAAGTCCTTAGAGCCATTCACATGTAGTTTCATGTTCAGGAAGTCATATGCTGGACAGTATTCAGGGTTAATTATGTTAGTCTGTGCATATTTTTAGCTTTCTGTGAGCTTGCCAAAATATATGGTATGTTCATGATTCCATAAGTTTTTGAGCAGACATAGAAACATATGCATGGAATGAGATATCAAGTTGCTTTCAAAAATAGTGCTCATTATAGCATAGCTCCATCATTACAGGAACAACATTGTGATGCTGAGTGTTTCAGGGCCATGTTTATTCTATGACTGTGTTATTCCAGCTTTGTACCTAATGTAATTAATTTTTGGAATTTCAATAATGTTGGTTGAAGTAACTGATTAAATTAATATTTTTATTTTAGTTTTTTACTCATACAGGCAATAATGCTGCCAAAAGTCATAAGGAGTTGGGTGAAGTATATGAAGGGGTTATCTTTATGAGTATAAAGTAGAAAGTAAAATTGCTGTTGATCTTTTGAAAAATGTTCATTATCAGTTGTTTCAGCCTTCAAAACCCTTCAAAAGTCTGGGGAGGGGGAAAATATATGAAAGATATTAGATGCAAAGCTAAAATTTCATGCATATGTTGAAACTATTGAAGCGTTGCATTTCTAATGTTAAAGTACCTGGACATTTGTGCAAACTACACTTTGAAAACAAATGCAATGTGATTCATGAGTCTTGTGAGTTATTATTTTGCAATGCTGATCATATAGTTGTAATGTGACAAATTTAGGACTTGTTGTCATACATTATACCAGGCCCTGATGATGAGCCTTTTTAAATGCCCAGGCCCAAAAATGCTAATTGTCCAGGTGGCAAGGAGAAATGGGGTCAGAGATGGGAATGAAGTCACAGTTGGAGGAATGTGAGAGAGATTTGGAGAGAGTAATTGCACATACAGATCAGATGGCTAATGGGAACACATCTGTACCTGCAAGGGAAATTGCATCTCAGTTGTTTTGCATAGCTGAAAGGTTCAGCCAAATTGTGAAGCACCTATTGATACATTCAGCAAATCGGCCAGTGGATAGTGACGTAAAGCTTGATATGTTCCCAAGAGTAGTGCTGAAACGGATATCTCCTGAAGATATGGAAGCACTGCATTTTGTAGGAAATCCTGAGCCATCCACCTCATTCCAGGCTTCAAAACCAAGAGCTACAGTGAAGAAAGCACTTGCAGTATCTGGGAAGAGGAGGGGAAAAGAGAATTCAAGGAAGAAGATTCGAAAATCCTCCAAACCTAAAAATATTCCGAAGGTAATTTATAAAATCACTTGGTTCTTGTTAATCAACTGAAATCTCAATTAACTTAGTTAATTTATGAGAACTCTTGCAAACTCTATATCTTTTTATTTTGTAGATGAAGTATCTACCAGAGGGAATCAACCCAGTGGGTGTGAATCCTATTATTGTCCTGTCACGTGGATTGGTAAGAAATGCCTTTGCCTCTGTCACTTGGGCCTAATGTGTCACTTTTCTTTATCTCTTATCTTAGTCGAGATTTGCATCTGTTGCTGAGTATAATTAGTGGCTGTGGGGAAGACATGTCCCTCATCACCTTAGTTGTCATTTCACTCTGTACTATGTCAAAGGCTAGCCTAATAGAGAAAAAAAAAGTAACTTACCTACATCTCTTTGTGGCCTTTCAATATGGAACATTACTTTCACAAATAAATACAGGTGTTCAGGCTCTTCTGGTATTGGAATTATGAAAGACTTACATAGGACCAAGTTTCATGATTCTTCCATTTTTCTTCTCTCATTTCCAGACCAAAATCGGAGGAGAACTGTTCCATGTTTTCAAGTGATCAAGAAGATTCTAGATCTGATGTACCTTTTACAGTCTTTCTAGCCCTCCCTCAGGTCATCAGAGGGTTATGAAAAGAAATAAGTTGCCCTTGAGAGCAATTCATTTGCCAGCTCACACCAATGAAATCCAAAATGAGTGTGACCTCTAATTGACTTCTCTGCTAGCAACAAGGCAGCTATCTTCCATAAATAAGTCATTTTCATGGCAAAGGCAATGAAGCTGCTGTCCAAGTGGCACCTTTTCCAGTTGCATGGGTTGGGCAAGAGCATAGGAAGCATGAGGACAGGGTGGTGTCTTTCCCCCTCTACTTTGCCATGTGAGGGGACTAGGGATATCTTCCTTCCCCCTGCAGAATGAGTCAGATGCCTGAAATTTCTGGGGGGAAACGATTGCAGAAGAATCCCTGCAGAGTTCATGATTTCATTTAGCTGTAATTGTCCTCATTGTAAAATTGACAGCTATGAAGTTTGCTCTAATCCAAGAAAGTGCAAGTATGCCAACTGCTTTTTGTTTGTTGATAGTCCAAGCACTGTGCAGTGCATTGCACCAAAAGTTTCCTAATTGAGGAACATTAAGAATAGTTTCATAGACTGACCTATGTGTAATTTATCCCATGGCAACATCAGGTTAGCTAGAAGAAACCAGCTACTCTATGAGACCTATGGAGTAATCACCAATTGTGACTGGTTTTTTCAACTTTTGAATTCTGTGAGAACCATGGAAGAAACAAAGCATGGAAACACCTTCACTCTCCAAGATTGCCAAAGAATCTGAGAAAATGATAACTCTGGTTGCACTTTGGAATTTGTCTAATCCACTGCGCCCTGCCAAGTGCCTTCCTAGTTGTGCTTATTGTAATTTCTCCAACTGCTCCTCCCCATAATAATTTTTTTTTTAAGTCTGTGGGGTTGGTATCAGATACAACACTGTTTCCTCTAGGATTCTATCATGCAGCTGTCATTGTGAGAAGATTGTTGAGAATTGCATTTTTGAGATCAGAAAGGAGTTAGCCAATGGTGGTCCACTCACTGGTTGTCATCTTGGTGTCAGCTATCTAAAAACTTGCAGAGCAAATGTGTCATGTCATTTCAGGTCTGACAGAAATGAATATATGCCATTTTGCAATTTTATTTTATTTTGAGATGTACCTTTTTTCCAAGCAGAATTATAATTGAGGAATAGCTACCTTGAAGCTCAGATGCTAAATTCAGGGGCAAAGGTGAATACTCATCTATTTTAATTCTGCTATTGCAAAAATTCTTGCCCTCCTGATAATGTAAAAATCACACAAATTTGCTCTTCTGTCAGACTTGCAGCAATACAATTTTAAAACACATTGATTAAAGTTCGAAAGAAGATCATATACCTTGGTGCTTCCCAGTGCTAATAAGCTAAGTCATCTTTTGTGCTCATTTTTGAGTTTTGTTGCAGATATTCATTTATGGAAATCTAGAGAGAATGAATCAAGACATTTAGGCAATGCTCTGTTCCCCCCATGAGCTTATGATGGCCAGCTAACAATTGTCAGCTAGTTATCATATTAAAAAGAGATTTAACTGTTTTCAGTAGTTTATCATGTGGAGTTGGAGGATCAACTACAATGCCAGTTTCTGTTGGCATTCATACTGGCACTTTCACCTGACAAATATTAAGTCAAATACATTCATCTGTATTTTTATTGTCATCTGTATTTGTAACTTCTTACTCTTTTTAATGGCCATGCTTATTAGGTTTTCTCCAGTCTCTTGTGTTTTGTCATTTCCAGAAGCATAATCTGTTCACAAAAGCCTTCCTCTCCATTGTATCTTGATCATGGTCAAGACTGAAGCAGCCACAAAGGATTGCCTTGTGGCACATCTCTACCTTCCATCCATGGTCACATCCATGATGGAAAATGTGGACCTATGTTAGTGTCACTCATAGGATACATAATCACTTAACATTTCCATTAGATGAGATTATTGTGGAAACACAAGAGGGAAAGCAGGGCCTAATTGTTAGTTGAAAATCATCAGATCATAAAGGGAACAAGGCATTACTTAAGAGTTGATTATTGTATTGTGATGAATTCTTGTCATGACTATTAATGTTGCAAGGCACAAAGTTATATTTTGTCCTCCTACTTCAATTTGTTTGCAGGAAAGCCAGAAAGAACAAGAGAGTCATGGCATTTCCATACAATGAGAGATTGATGATGACCTTTCTAGTGATGAA